GTACACTTCCCGACTGGAACATGTTCTACACCGTATGTCTGTACACTGACTGGAACATGTGTATGTCTGTACACTGACTGGAACATGTTCTACATGTATGTCTGTACACTGACTGGAACATGCTCTACACGTATGTCTGTACACTGACTGGAACATGTTCTACACGTATATCTGTACACTGACTGGAACATGTTCTACATGTATGTCTGTACACTGACTGGAACATGTTCTACATGTATGTCTGTACACTGACTGGAACATGCTCTACACGTATATCTGTACACTGATTCGAACTTGTTCTACACGTATGTCTGTACATTGACTGGAACATGTTCTACATGTATGTCTGTACACTGACTGGAACATGTTCTACACGTATATCTGCTCACTGATTCGAACTTGTTCTACACGTATGTCTGTACACTGACTGGAACATGCTCTACGAGTATGTCTATACAATGACTGGAAAATGCTCTACACGTATATATGTACACTGACTGGAACATGTTCTACACGTATGTGTGTACACTGACTGGAACACGCTCTACACGTATGTCTGTACACTGACTGCAACATGTTCTACACGTATATCTGTACACTGACTGGAACATGCTCTACGAGTATGTCTATGCAATGACTGGAAAATGCTCCACACGTATATATGTACACTGACTGGAACATGCTCTACACGTATGTCTGTACACTGACTGGAACATGATCTTCACGTATGTCTGTACACTGACTGGAACATGTTCTACACGTATATCTGTACACTGACTGGAACATGTTCTACACGTATGTCTATACAATGACTGGAACATGCTCTACACGTATATCTGTACACTGACTGGAACATGTTCTACACGTATGTCTGTACACTGACTGGAACACGCTCTACACGTATGTCTGTACACTGACTGGAACATGTTCTACACGTATATCTGTACACTGACTGGAACATGTTCTACATGTATGTCTGTACACTGACTGGAACATGTTCTACATGTATGTCTGTACACTGACTTCAACATGTTCTACACGTATGTCTGTACACTGACTGGAACATGCTCTAAACGTATATCTGTACACTGACTGCACATGTTCTACACGTATGTCTATACAATGACTGGAACATGCTCTACACGTATATCTGTACACTGACTGGAACATGTTCTACATGTATGTCTGTACACTGACTGGAACATGTTCTACACGTATGTCTGCACAGGTGTCTCAATGTGCATTTATTTGGCACCATTATCATATTATATTTCTTGTATGTTTCAATGAATGTATGAGGGTTCCGTGATTTTGATAACCAAGCAAAACCAGTGACTACAATCGACCAACTTCAACGTAATTCAATGAAAAACAATAAACCCAGCCACAGAGCCAGACTACCTGATCTCCATGGTAGTCCATATGGGGATCTATCCACGGAACGTTAATGTGCATCACGCTCATCAGATGTGTCCCCCTTCCCGCACGCACACACACACGCACGCACACACACACACACACACACACACACACACACACGCACGCACGCACACACACACACACACGCACACACACACACACACACACACAGAGCAACCACCTCATCCTTCTTTCACTTTTGGTGAGTGAGTGAATTGAATTTTACACCGCTTCCAGCATCATTGCAGCAACATCACTGAGAAGAAAACCAGAAATGGGCTTCACATGTGGGTAATCGAACCGGGTCTTCAGCGTGACTAGGCTAACCAACCACCCCCTTTTGCTAATCCGGGTTAGACGAGGTCGCGAGGTTATATGTTTACTGTAAATATGTCTAAACGGGGATCGGGTGGTTCCTTATTGGCTGGTTTCTTGCCATCGTAGTCTCAAACGGGGATCGGGTGGTTCCTTATTGGCTGGTTTCTTGCCATCGTAGTCTCAAACGGGGATCGGGTGGTTCCTTATTGGCTGGTTTCTTGCCATCATAGTCTCAAACGGGGATCCTTATTGGCTGGTTTCTTGCCATCGTAGTCTCAAACGGGGATCGGGTGGTTCCTTATTGGCTGGTTTCTTGCCATCATAGTCTCAAACGGGGATCCTTATTGGCTGGTTTCTTGCCATCGTAGTCTCAAACGGGGATCCTTATTGGCTGGTTTCTTGCCATCGTAGTCTCAAACGGGGATCGGGTGGTTCCTTATTGGCTGGTTTCTTGCCATCGTAGTCTCAAACGGGGATCCTTATTGGCTGGTTTCTTGCCATCGTAGTCTCAAACGGGGATCGGGTGGTTCCTTATTGGCTGGTTTCTTGCCATCGTAGTCTCAAACGGGGATCCTTATTGGCTGGTTTCTTGCCATCGTAGTCTCAAACGGGGATCGGGTGGTTCCTTATTGGCTGGTTTCTTGCCATCGTAGTCTCAAACGGGGATCCTTATTGGCTGGTTTCTTGCCATCGTAGTCTCAAACGGGGATCGGGTGGTTCCTTATTGGTTCCTCGTAGTTCAAACGGGGATCCTGGCTTTTCTTGCCATCGTAGTCTCAAACGGGGATCCTTATTGGCTGGTTTCTTGCCATCGTAGTCTCAAACGGGGATCGGGTGGTTCCTTATTGGCTGGTTTCTTGCCATCGTAGTCTCAAACGGGGATCCTTATTGGCTGGTTCCTTTGGCTGGTTTCTTGCCATCGTAGTCTCAAACGGGGATCGGGTGGTTCCTCGTAGTTGGCTGGTTTCTGGTTTCTTGCCATCGTAGTCTCAAACGGGGATCCTTATTGGCTGGTTTCTTGCCATCGTAGTCTCAAACGGGGATCGGGTGGTTCCTTATTGGCTGGTTTCTTGCCATCGTAGTCTCAAACGGGGATCGGGTGGTTCCTTATTGGCTGGTTTCTTGCCATCGTAGTCTCAAACCTTATTGGCTGGTTTCCCATCGTAGTCTCAAACGGGCTCGGGTGGTTCCTTATTGGCTGGTTTCTTGCCATCGTAGTCTCAAACGGGGATCCTTATTGGCTGGTTTCTTGCCATCGTAGTCTCAAACGGGGATCGGGTGGTTCCTTATTGGCTGGTTTCTTGCCATCGTAGTCTCAAACGGGGATCCTTATTGGCTGGTTTCTTGCCATCGTAGTCTCAAACGGGGATCGGGTGGTTCCTTATTGGCTGGTTTCTTGCCATCGTAGTCTCAAACGGGGATCGGGTGGTTCCTTATTGGCTGGTTTCTTGCCATCGTAGTCTCAAACGGGGATCGGAAGTGGTTCCTTATTGGCTGGTTTCTTGCCATCGTAGTCTCAAACGGGGATCCTTATTGGCTGGTTTCTTGCCATCGTAGTCTCAAACGGGGATCGGGTGGTTCCTTATTGGCTGGTTTCTTGCCATCGTAGTCTCAAACGGGGATCCTTATTGGCTGGTTTCTTGCCATCGTAGTCTCAAACGGGGATCGGGTGGTTCCTTATTGGCTGGTTTGTCATCGTAGTTTCAAACGGGGATCGGGTGGTTCCTTATTGGCTGGTTTCTTGCCATCGTAGTCTCAAACGGGGATGGGATGGTTCCTACTTCGTGAATTTGCTGGTATCATGTAATCGTACTCTGACGCTGCATTACATCTGACTTCTTCCCTCATCAAGGGGCGGTGGGGTAGCCTAGTGGTCGAGGCGTTCACTCATCACGCCGAAGACCCGGGTGGGATTCCCCACATGGGCACAATGTGTGAAGCCAATTTCTGGTGTCCCCCGTCGTGATATTGCTGGAATATTGCCAAAAGCGGCGTAATATCAAACTCACTCACTCACTCACACATCAAACTGACGTAGTGAAACAGCTGGAATGTTGGTTGCAGCCACGTTAATCCCAACCCATCCTTAAACCGACGCCATGAAACTGTCACGCTATCAACCACTGGTTGGCCTGGCATAGTCTCGATGCTCCGGGAAACACATGGAACATTGCTAAAGCGAGAAACCCCGTATACCAGGACAACATAAGTCAACACCGAAACCTGTTGTATTTATTATTACATATGGATTGAGAAGGGAGACTGTGAAGTCAGACTGGTTGCTAGTTTGCATGGTCAAGACTCTGTTATTCGCAAGTCACCGTCATAGAGGCGAAATACTGATCTTTCTGACGTAAAACAATATTTACTCAATCCTCCGAAAACAAATTCCCGTTTCTGTACTTATCTCCCTCTTCATCCTTCCACCTTCCATTCCCTCCTCCATACTCCATCCCCAGTTTGCATCCGTCCCTGTAGTTCGACTAATCTGTCCCTCTCGGCACCTTGTTCACATCTAGATCTCTAGCCCCATAATCCCTCTTCTCAAACCTGGGTCACTCATCCCCGTACAGTGTGTTCATCCAGATCTCCTGCCCCCGTTTATCCCCTGCCTCTGCAGCATCCCGTCGCATCTCCTCGCTGTCCCTATTCCCCTACCCGTGCCCCCCTATCTCCGCTCATCCCAACCAGCGATTTCTTCCCAACCCTCGTCAATCACCCTCAGTCGTCGACCCCTGACAGGCAAATACCGGGTTGCACCCACCCCGATCTCGTTGTTACCTAGTTAGATCGGGTGGCGTTCATGGTCTGTCCTACACATCCCCGTGTCCCTGTGTCAAGTTCCTCCCATTACACCCGGGGTTTACCGGTCAGACCCCTTCCCCCTAACTCCCCACCCGACAGACACAGGCGTGAACGTTTAATTGGAAGGATCGCGTTTACTGTGGAATGCGTGTCGCTACCCGAAACGCCATGCGTCCTTTCTAAATACAATAATGACCATCTATAGCTTATCAAACGGTTTTGATTTAAGATGTGGTCACAGTCCCTGGTCATCAAGACTGACCGGTTCCTTAAACTTGTATAGCAGACTGGCGAACACCGCAAACACAAGTGTTGAGTCGGCGTGTGTGTTTATCTTCTAAATGGTTAATTCCATAACTCCATGAGTGGTACTATTCCATTTCGATTTTATAAATTACACTGGTATTGGATAGGGTGAGGTTGGATGGGAGGGATGGGGTTGGATTGGGTGAGTTTGGATGGGGTGAGGTTGGATGGGAATATTGCTGGAATATTGCCGTGATATTGCTGGAATATTGCTAAAAGCGGCGTAAAACTAAACTGAATCAATCACTCATAAATTACAGTGGAGATGCATTGTATATGAGATGTTGAGCTTAAGGTCATGGCCTTGGGGTTGATTGGGTAATCATCAAAGTTTCCGTTTCAGTAAACCCGAGCAGACCGTTAAATAGATGCAGATGTAACTGGCGACCCCAACCAATCCCACCTCACCCAACCCCATCCCTCCCAGACAACCGCATCCAATACAACCTCACCCCATCCAACCTCTCCTCACCCCATCCAACCTCTCCTCACCCCATCCAACCTCACCCCATCCAACCTCTCCTCACCCCATCCAACCTCACCCAATCCAACCTCTCCTCACCCCATCCAACCTCTCCTCACCCCATCCAACCTCACCCCATCCAACCTCACCCCATCCAACCTCACCCAATCCAACTTCAACCAATCCAACCCTATCCCTCCCATCCAACCTCACCCCAGACAACTGCATCCAATACAACCTCACCCCATCCAACATCACTCTATCCAATCCAATCCCATCCCACTTCACCCCATCCCCATCCATCCTCACCCCATCCAACCTCTCACCCCATCCAACCTCCATCCAGCCTCACCCCATCCAGCCTCTCCTCACCCAATCCAACCTCACCCCATCCAACCTCTCCTCACCCCATCCAACCTCACCCCCATCCAACTTCTCCTCACCCCATCCAACCACTCTCCAATCCCAATCCAACTTCACCCCATCCAACCATCCTATCCAGCCTCTCCTCACCCCATCCAACCTCACCCCATCCAACCTCTCCTCACCCCATCCAACCTCACCCCATCCAACCTCACCCAATCCAACTTCAACCAATCCAACCCTTATCCCTCCCATCCAACCTCACCCCAGACAACTGCATCAATACAACCTCACCCCATCCAACATTACTCTATCCAATCCAATCCCATCCAACTTCTCCTCACCCCATCCAATCCATCCTCACCCCATCCATCCTCCTCACCCAATCCAACCTCACCCAATCCAACCTCCTCACCACATCCAACCTCATCCTCATCCAACCCTCATCCACAACTCACCCATCATCCAACCTCCTCACCCCATCCAACCTCACCCCATCCAACCCCTCCTCACCCCATCCAACCTCACCCCATCCAACCTCACCCCCATCCAACCCATCCAACCTCTCCTCACCCCATCCAACCTCACCCCATCCAACCTCCCCCAATCCAACTTCACCCAATCCAATCCAACCCTATCCCTCCCATTCAACCTCACCCCCATCCAACATCACTCCATCCAACATCATCTCAATCCCCATCCAACTTCACCCCATCCAACCTCACACCATCCAACCTTACCCTATCATCCAACCCCATCCCATCCAACCTCACCTCCCCTCATCTCACCCAATCCAACTCACCCCAATCCAACTCACACCATCTTACCTCATCCAACATCATCTCTTCCAATCCCATCCAACCTCATCTCATCCAGGAGCATCACAGAACACGGGGCAAAGAGAGACAGGAAGAGACGAGGGAGAAGGTATGAGACAGGGGGAGGAAGATTGAACGAGGAGAAAGTGAAGCAGAAAGAGGGAAAGAAAGAGAGGGAAATAAGTATAGAGGGAAAGAAAGAGAGGGAAATAAGTATAGAGGGAAAGAAAGAGAGGGAAATAAGTATAGAGGGGAAAGAGAGGGAAATAAGTATAGAGGGAAAAAGAAAGAATAAATAAGTAGAGGGAAAGAAAGAGAGGGAAATAAGTATAGAGGAGAGAAAATAAGATAGAGGGGAAAGAAGGGAAATAAGTATAGAGGGAGAGAAGAGGGAGATAAGATAGAGGGAAAGAAAGAGAGGAAATAAGTATAGAGGGAAAGAAAGAGAGGGAAATAAGTATAGAGGGAAAGAAAGAGAGGGAAATAAGTATAGAGGGAAAGAAAGAGAGGGAAATAAGTATAGAGGGAAAGAAAGAGAGGGAAATAAGTATAGAGGGAAAGAAAGAGAGGGAAATAAGTATAGAGGGAAAGAAAGAGAGGGAAATAAGTATAGAGGGAAAGAAAGAGGGAAATAAGTATAGAGGAAAGAAAGAAAGGGAAATAAGTACAGAGGGAGAGAAAGAGAGGGAAATAAGTATAGAGGGGAAAGAAAGGGAGGGAAAAGTATAGAGGGAAAGAGAGGGAAATAAGTATAGAGGGGAAAGAAAGAGAGGGAAATAAGTATAGAGGGAAAGAAAGAGAGGGAAATAAGTATAGAGGGAAAGAAAGAGAGGGAAATAGGTATAGAGGGAAATAAAGTAAGGGAAAGAAAGAGAGGGGAGAGAGAGAGAGAATAAAAGTTCATGCCCTATGACAGAACTGAAGGAGAACCGAACCAAGTCTTGAAACGTGACTGACATCTGAGATTTACTAAGAAAGCTGGAATTTTAGAAATTGGCACGTAGTGATAAATTTCTACAAATCACAAATCTTCCTCGAGGACCACTAGACTACGGGTAGACAAATACCTTTAAGCTGAATGTCCCTCTCGCTTAGACTAGAACTAATTGGCTCGAAACTCAATCTCTAATTGATAGTGATTTATCAACTCTGTTTCAGTTTGCCCCGACACACGGTAACGCGAGATGCACGCCGCCATCTTGGCACAACACAAACTGATGACGTAATGCCCATAAATTACGGAGTGTCGCCCCATCGCCTGTTCCATTGGTTGATTATGTGACTGTCACAATCCAGATGTGTTCCCTTAAACTGATGTCACTCGATGAATGGTCTGGGCTTCCATTTAGTGTCTATTGAAAATAGGGTGGCTCTTTAATTCATCGGGATCTCGTTAAGGACTAAATTGGCGGACACAAGCTCCGCCTCTGGATGTCGTGAGGATTAGCCCTTGCTCGGTGTTGATGTACAAACAGCAGATGAATAAACCCACAACAAAACGATTTCCCCTTTCGCTCTATTTTATCCCCTTTTACGACATTTTGATGTTCTGCATGTTCTTTCATTAAAAAGAACTGCACTTGACGAAGTGCAAATACGCCAACTTTATCGCCCTCTTTGTAATTTGCACCCTGCAATTTCATCAAGCATTATTTTTTTTTTAAATTAAAATCTTTTTAAACACATTAAACTAACAGTAGACTTGAAACCCATTACGAAAAATCTGAGACATAACAGTTTGTAATAATTTCATACAACTACATGTATTTCTTTAAAACATTCATGCTTCTTTTCCGCATCAATTAATTGATTATTTTCGCCCTGAATTGAATGCAGCAGTATTTTTTCTAACTCGGTTTAAACAAAACTTGGTACTTTGCTGGATCCTGCCAGAGTACGAAATATCTTATTAAAACATTATTAATGTTCGCACAATTAAACATCAAATAATATTTCGATTTGGATTGAATCCAGCGATGCATTTAATAGTATCATCGATAGCATTAGAGGCAAAGTATATGTGTGTGCTCAGGAGCTTAAATCTGAAATTTGACTGTTAAGGGAAATATATTTTAAGTGATCTAGTTATTCACCTGATGAAGGGGCAAGTACTATCCCTGAAACGTCGTGTGTAAATAATAAAGAAGTTACACATCCATATCAAGTGTGTTGTATTAGTTCGGGGCGCGGTGGGCGAGCTGGCTAAGGCGCCAGGCTAGTGATCCAGCGAGGTTGAGGTGGCGGGATCGAGCCCACCTGTGACCGGGTGTAAAAACCTTGGAGTCAACTTTGTGTGCAGACTCTTTCCGTGTTGTCACAACCCCTAGTGTACAGTACACAACCCTGTGCACTTTAAAGAACCCACGAATCTGTTGGTATATGACCAGATGGTGGCCACATGAATACGCGCAAACACCTAGTTGCGGGTACAGTAACGTGCAGTGAAGTTGGACAAAGTGATGTGACTATGTGTCCCAGTCCACCCAGCTGTGAATGGGTACCTCGTTAGGATGAGAAAGCCACAATAACTCGGTGCGCCTAGTAGCAGCAAGAGTTGTGTACTCCCCAGAGAGTTGAGATTGATAATACGATGTGCAGTTGATATTGACATCCAATGATCGAGGGAAACAATACCAGCGCCTTGAGCATGCACTAGTTGCCTGGATATGTGCGCTATATAAATATCCTATAATAAATAATAATAATATTCAAATAATCATAAACAGATAATGAATTGACACAATCCCAAGTCCCACTATAATCTTAAAATGATGGAGATACAGACAAAGGAGTATCTGAAGATGGGATATGAAATACATGTACAGTCAAAGATCTCCACAGAAGGTAATTATCGGATATTAAAATCCACGACATGTATTAAAGGTACTTCACTAATTGTCATAAATGCTTTATTGTGAGATATGACACTTTACACTCACTAGTGTTGTAAACGGTGGTACATCATACTAGTAGCATCTTCGTGAGTCAAGGGCTGGTGTTCTATTGAAGGGTTTACTGATGGGTATACGTGTTCTATCAATGGAAGTCTGGGCACCATTTGGTGAAAATGACATATTTTTATATGATTCGGTTCATCTTTTCTATAAGTGTGTTTGTCCTTGAAAAACTAATATAAGGATATAAGGAACGTTAGTTTCGAAGATGAAATCACAGAAAGCGATAATGAAACATCATGTTTATCTTTTTTCTGTTTAATTTGTAGGCGGTATACAAAAAAAATGTCGGAACGTGTTTTCTAGCATGACATATCCGTTCCCGTTGACCAATTTTAAATCATCAGCAAAACCTTCCTCCCAAACCTGTCAATACTTCCTGTCATATTCAACCCTTTAATTTGCATCCTCCCTTTAAATCTGATATACCGCCGTTCTCTTTTTATCTTCAACGTCACAATGGTCAAGATTGTATTTTATTCCACATCTATTGTCAAAACGTACCTGTCCGTAGAAAAATATTGTATGCGCAATTAAGTATACGACAAGATAATACGAAATCATCCTGTGAAGTGCTCATGAAATTGCTTGTTGAGGTTACCCTGATGCATCAAGGGTGACAAGCGTCGCACCTATCGACCGCTAGGGGGCGGAGTGGCTGTCATCTTCATATCAAAGGGCAATGTTCTTACCTTTAAATGTGAGGCTACCTGTAATAATTTCTGACACTCGCGGACTTTACCGAACGCCGACGCCGGCCCTCGTCACACTCGTCTTTCTTTTAAAAACGCTTTTCTTTCTCTTAAAGTTAACAACGGCAAATCTCGTATGTTGCGTGGCAACAAATGTTTGGGGGGGATAATAATACCCCCTACCCGTTTTCAACTCCTTCCTGGGGTAACCGAACAAACCGGTGAAAGCTGCTATAATCACTATGAACAAGCTGCTTTGTGCTACCCTCTACATCTACGCTCTCTGAATCTCTCCCCTTCAGACGGTTACTGAATCTCGTCGGTTCTCACCTATAATCCGATCCTCAGGAATCCGGTCCATTCTCCGGCTATTCTTTCCCCACAGGGAGCAGGGGAAGTTAGACACCTGGTGCTGTATAAAAAGGGCGAAAGGGAGAAAATTATATGATTTGGACAAATGAATGAGTTTTTCTCAAAAGGGTAACTGATTTCCCTTTCCTGTTTGAAACGTTGCCGTTCCTGTCCTTTAATACAAATCACTGGTTCTAAACAACCAGTCTTGACCTTCGCTCTGGGAAGAGATTTGTGTCAGTGATTGACAATCTGGTATTGATCGCGAGATTAAAAAACAAACATTACACGAAAGGACACCGCATTTAGATACAGCTCCGAAGCTCATAAACGGTTTCAGCGAAGCAAAACATTTGTCATTATGACTTCAGCCATATTGTAACAATATTTTCAGTCAGAAAACAAAACTGTTTCGAATCCCAAACATACATTTATTTCAAGTTTATTGTTTTCTAAAATAAACAACATATTGATAGATGAACCTCATTCGAACTAATGACGATACTTTAATTAATGTTTTATGTTCTTAAAGGAGTATTTGTTTACAAGCTCTGGTTGAGTTGCTTGCAACATTTTCTATTTATGGTATGCATAGACATGGTATGGGAAAGTATGTGTCTGTATTGAAACTATTCTTAATGCAATTAAGTATTCCCGGCACATTACGGGAACGAAAGAATGTGCGTTAAAATATCCCAAATACCTCGAAAAAATATTTAATATATATTTAAAAGTTTAGAGGTGGTTTTTAAGACGACTTCTCCACCATTCAAAGCAGGCTCGTGAAAATGCTGCTAAACCGAACAGATCTATTTAGAATCATTTGGGCTGAGAAGGGCTTTATATTCTGTAAGCTGAATCTAATTGTATGAGACTAGCAGAGCAAGCAGATTGTGAAGCTATTAGGAAGTAGCGTTATGTATTGCAAAGCAGGAATATCGAGATAAAACTCATTGCAGAATGCGACCTACAATCGACCTGAGTTTCGGGTCATCCCCAGGATCGTTAGCCGATGGTATTCACAGAAGAAAGCGATTTCGCAACGGTACACCATCCAAATAAACAAAAGGATGAGGAGCCTAATCAAAACGCTTATAAAACAACAAACACACCAGGATTCGAACTAGCTAAAGCGCATGTTTACTCCTAGCCGACATGGCTATAGCTCAACAGACGTTTTTTTATACTTCACATTCACAGTACGACGTCGGCAGTATCGCGCAATCTCTCACCCCTCGATGGAACCTGCAACGTTGATGTTGGAAAAAACGTTGCCTTATCAAAACGTCATCGACGTCGGGG